TTTTGTCGACATCTACTGCTGGGCATGCAGCGTATCCTTAAAAGTAGTTTGTTTACCTGGCAGGGGAGATACCATGATGATGAAGGTGCTTTTTCCTAGGGCGAGGCTTATCCATTGCATAATTTGTGGTAATGGGAGACTGTGTTCATACTCTTCCCTGTTAAATAAAGAAATAAAGTTAAAAAAGGAATAGTTTGTTTCCCCAGGGAGACTCCCTCGAAGAAAGCTTAATTTTTGTTTTGCAAGTGATCATCAATTGGATGATTAGGGATGCGGGCATATGTCCACTTCTCCTTTCAGCTCTAGGACCCCATCGGATGCAGACCTGTGCAAGCCCAGTGCCTGCTGCCTCAGTTTCTCTAAGTTCATATGTGCATCAGTCCTGTTGATTTAAAGGATCTTGTTTCTTTGGTGTCCTATATCCTCTCTGGCTTATACAGCCTTGGTGCCTCCTCTTCTGCCCACAAGGTTCCTTGAGCTCTGAGGGAAGGGATTTGATGAAGACATCCTGTTTAGGACTGAGTGTTCCCAAGTTTCTTCTCTGCATAATGTCTGGCTATGGGTCTCTTATGCTTGTTCCCATCTGCTGCAGGAGACAGCATCTCTGATGATGACAGCTATTGTCATTAAAGTGCTGATTTATGAGTATAGCAGAATATCACTAGGAATAATTTTATTGCTTTTTTTTTTTTTTTTGAACAATAGTAGTTGATTTTACCCTAGATCCTTGCACTATCTAGTTTCAAGTTCTTGGTTACCCAAGCAGTGTCAAGTATGGGTTCCATCTTATTTGGAATGGTCCTTAAGTCAAGTCAGATATTGATTGATTACTCCCCACAAGTATTGTGCCACCATTATACAAACATATCTTTCAGGCAGGACACCATTGTAGGCAAAGGGTTTATGACTGGGTTGGTGTTTGTTTTTCCTTTGGTAGTGTGCAGAGAACCTTCCTGTACCAAAGACACTAACACATAGGGATGAAGGCTCTTTGTAGGCACAAACTACAATGGCTATGTTCAAGGAGTTGTGTAGGTGTTGTCTTCAGCAATGGGGCCTTACTGTTAGTTTGTGGAGCAGCCTATAGTCTTAGCAACAGCCTGGGTTGTTTGGTGATTCTCATGGGACCTCTTTGGTCAACAACATCAATTAGATGTAACCCAGCTCTGGTACTGGAAACTTCATTTGATAATGAGATATCCAGTTAGGGCTCTGTCTCCCTTATTATTTGGCGATTTCATTTAAATCTTCATGTATGTATTTTGTTTTACAAAGCTTCTACTATATTAGGTTTCCACACTATACATCTAATGACCCTTAGTTTTTAGCTGTCTCTCCACATATTCCTTCCCTGTCCCTCTCTTCACTCCCTTCCCCACTTGATCTCCCCATTCCAGTCCCCACACCCAATCCATCCATAACTATTTGGTTATTTATATTAGCCATTCTGATGGATGTAAGATGAAATCTCAAAGTAGTTTTGATTTGCATATCCCTTATGATTAAGGATGTTGAACATTTCTTTAAGTGTTTCTCGGCTATTTGCATTTCTTCTTTTGAGAATTCTCTATTTGGATTTTGTACCCCATTTTAAAATTGGGTTGTTTTATTGATATCTAAGTTTTGGGTTCTTTATATATTTTGGATATTAGCTTTTTGTCAGATGTGGAGTTGGTAAAGATTTTTTCTCACTGTGGCTGCCACTTTGTCCAAGTGATGGTGTCCATTGCCATATACAAGCTATTCAAATACATGAAGTCCTATTTTTTAATTTATCATTCTTAGTGTTTGTGCTATTGTTGTTCTGTTCATAAACTCATTTCCTGTGCCAGTGAGTTCAAAGCTATTCCCCATTTTGTCTTCTATAAGGTTTAGTGTATCTGGTTTTATGTTGAGGTCTTTGATCCATTTGAAGTTGAGTTTTGTGCAGGGTATATGTATGAATCTATTTGGATTTTTCTGTACGCAGCCATCCAGTTTGATCAGCACTATTGATTGAAAATGCTGTCTTTTTTTTCTCCCTCAGTGTGTATTTTGTCTCCTTTATCAAAAATTGGGTGTCCATAGGTATGTGGGTTTATATCTATCTATCCAGATCCTCATTTTGATTCCACTGATCAACATGTCTGTTTTGGGGTCAATACCATGTTGTTCTTATTTACTGTAGCTCTATAGTAAATCTCCTGTAGTTCCTTTATTATTACTATCTTCCTTTTTTTTTTTTTTTTTTTTTTTTTTTTTTTGTATATTTCTATATGGTGCTGAAAATTGTTCTTTCAAGATGTATGAATAATTGTGCTGGAATTTTGATAGTGATTGCATTGAATCTGTAGAGTGTCTTTGGTAGGATGGCCATTTTTATTATATTAATTCTACTGATCCATGAACATTGGGGATCTTTCCATCTTATGATATCTTCTTCAATTTCTCTCTTCAATATCTTGAAGTTTTTAATCACACAGGCCTTTTACTTGCTTGGTTAGAGTTACCCCAAGATATTCTATATTATTTGTGGCTATTGGAAAGATGTTCTTTCCCTGATTTCTTTCTCAGTCTATTTGTCATTTGTCTATAGAAAGTCTACTGTATTTTGTGAATTAATTTGGTAACTAGCTACTTTACTGAAAGTGATTATTAGTTGTAGGAGTATCCCAGTAGAATTTTTAGGGTCACTTATGTATACTATTATATCATCTGCAAATAAAGATACTTTGACTTCTTCCTTTCCAACTTGTAGTCCCTTGATTTCCTTCAGTTGCCTTATTGCTTTAGCTAAGACTTCAAGTACTATATTGAATAGATATGGAGAGAGTGGATATCCTTATCTTGTTCCTGAGAGGTATTAAGTTAGTGGTGTTTGTTGATTCCTATTATTTTATTGTTGTGAGGTGTGTGTGTGTGTGTGTGAATGCATGCACGCGTGTGTGTGAGCATGTGTTTCCCCTCTTTTGATTTGCTGGTTTAGGATTATCTATTCCTTGTGTTTTTTTGAGTGTGGTTAAACTCTTTATGTTGGAATTTTCCTTCTAGTTCCTTTTGTATGACTGGATTTGTAGATAGATATTGCTTACATTTGATTTTATGTCTTATTTTCTCCATCTATTGTGATGTTTTCCTGGGTATAGTAGTCTGAGTTGGCATCTGTAGTCTTTTAAAGTCTATAGAACATCTGTCCAGGTACTTCTGGCTTTTAGAGTTTCCACTGAAAAATCAAGTGCTATTCTAATAAGTGTACCGTTATATGTTATTACTTGGTCTTGTTTCCTTGCAGCTTTTTACACCCTTTCTTTATTCTATATGTTTAATGTTTTGATTATTATGTGGCAAGGGGAATTTATTTTCTGGTCCTATCTATTTGGTCTTCTGTATGCTTCTTGTATCTTGATAGGCATTTCCTTCTTTAGGTTAGGAAAATTTTCTTCTGTAATTTTGCTGAAAATATTTTCTGTGTCATTGACCCAGGTTTCTTTTCCTTTCTCTATTCCTATTATTCTTAGATGGTTTCCTGAATGTTTTGTGCCAGGGGTTTTTTAGATTTAACATTTTCTTTGACTGGGGTATCCATTTCTTCTATCATGTCTTCAATGCCTGAGATTCTTTCTTCCATTTCTTGTATTCTGTTGGTGAGGTGTGGCAGGCTATTTTTGGGGGGGGGGCACCAACCAGCTCCTAAATCATGACATGGAGACTTATTATTAATTATGAATGTTAAGCCTTATCTTTTGCTTGTCCCGGTAGCTCTTATAACTTATTTTAACTTGATTCTCTTCATCTATATTTTGCCTTAGGACTTTTTACCTTTCTTTCATTCTGTATATCCTTCTCCATATCTTGCTGGCTGGTAGCTACCTGGCTGGTCACAGGGGTCTCTCTTTCTCTTTCTCCCTTGTACTCTCTTCTAGATTTCTCCTTCTATTTATTCTCTCTGCCAGCCTCATATTCTTCTACTGTTTAGCTATTCGCTGTTCAGCTTTCTATTAGACCAATCAGGTGCTTTGAGCAGATAAGGTAAAACAGCAACACATCTTTACATAATTAAACAAATGCAGCATAAACAAATATAACAGATCTTTACACAGTTAAAGTAATAATCCCTGAGGTTCCTGTTTGAGTTTCTAAACTTTTCATTTCCAGATTTCCCTCAGTTTGGTTTTCTTTATTGATTCTATTTCTTCTTTCCAGTCTTGAACTGCTTTATTAAGTTTTTTTCCACTCTATGTGTTTTCATTAAGGGATTTATTCATTTCCTTTATAAGGACTCTATCAAATTAATAAGAGCTATTTTAATGTCATTGTCTTATGCTTCAGCTATGTTGCAATTCTTAGAGTGTACTGTGGTAGGGTTGCTGGGCTCTAGTGGCGACATATTGTTCTGTTACTGATTATTTTTATACTGGTGTCTAGACATCTGGGTCCAGGAAGATTACAATTCTAGGTGCTGAAATCTGTTCTTACCTTTGTCAAGAGGGTGTTTCTAGATATTGGGGGCTGACATTTAGGAATGGAGAATGGCTAGAAGGTAGGAGGAAAGCAGGATGTTCCACCAGGATCTGCTTAGTCCCCTGGGAATGAGGGCAGGAGCATGAAGAGGCCTCAGCAGGTAATCTTCTACTGGGCTAGGGATGAGAGATGGGGGGAGGAGCGGAGGGAGAGGCAGGCTTGGCTGGCATTTTCCCAGGGAATGCCTGCTGGAATTAGGGCTGAGATAATGGGATGAGTGGGGGTAGGGGAGTTTGCAGGGGAAGATCTGTGTAATCCACTGGAGGTGGAGGCAGAGAGGAAGAGGATGCTGAAGCAGGTGGTCTGCTCCAGAGCTGGGATGAGACTGGGGATTGGTTTGGGAGGAGAGGCAGAAGAAGTGAAGATCTGCAGTTAGCAGACCTACTTCCCTGGCTGGAGTGGGTTTCCCAGGAATCAGTGTTATTTTAAAAAATTACTCTTCAATTAAAATTTTTCTGTCCTTACTCCTACCGCTTTTTAAATAACATCTCTCCAAACAGCGAAAAGACAAACTCCGGGAGCACATGCAAAGGATGCATAACCCTGAAAGGGAGGCCAAGAAAGCTGACCGCATCAGCCGTTCCAAGACCTTCAAACCACGCATCACATCCACAGACTACGACAGCTTCACGTTCAAGTGCCGGCTGTGTATGATGGGATTCCGGAGGCGAGGCATGCTGGTCAGTGCCAGATGAGCAAGTTTCTGTCTGTCAGTGGCAATGAACCTTAACAAAGTAGATCTATCGACATATCAATTAGTGTCTAGGGGAAAAGGACAGCAAGCAGCCCCCCAATTTGAGCTTCTTTCCTCTCTGTGACAGAAACCTTTTGCTCTTCTGGACCACTTCTTGGGTGACCTTTTAGAAGAAAGTTGTCATGCCCTTTCTTTCCCCCACTTTGATGATAGGAACCCTGGAGCCTTGCACCTGTTTGGCCTATGCTCTACCATTGAACTACATCCCTGGATGTCTATTGCTTTTTATTATTAGTTTCTTTTTCTTTACTTTTATCTCTTGGTCTTGTCTCATTTTATTTCCCTCTTCTCATTAGTTGAGTATTTTTTCTGGTAGGGTATTTATCTTCTTCCCACTGCTCCCTATCAGTGCCTTCTTTGTCCCATCAGGAAACTTCCCTTCAGTGCAGGGATGTGGTCCCAGATTAGGGGAAACATCAGGACAATTCAGGACATTGTAATTGCAGAATATATTTCTACTAAAGTGCTTAGAAAGTCTCAGTAGTTAAAATTTAGAACCTTGTTAGGAGTAGTTTTCCCCTGGCCTGGTCCCACAGCCACACCAGCCCCAAATAACACCAGAGATGCTGTATTAGATATAATTTTGGTGGCCTGTTACTAGTTTCTTATCAGCTAGCTCTGTCTTAAATATTAACTCATTTCTATTAATCTAAGTATTTTCACGTGGTCTTATCTTACTGGAGAGAGACCCCGGCAACTGGTGACTACCCTGTAGGTCCTCCATCTTGAAACTCCTCCCTACTTCTTCCTCTCTCCTCCTTGTCTCCTAGTTCCGCCTGTCTTGCTTTCCTATTGGCCAACAGTGCTTAATTCACTAACCAATAAGAGAAACATATTTACAGAATGACATCTCCCATCAGAACCTTACTTTGTATCCATCCAGCAGTCTCAGTAAGGTAATTGAAAAGTGACAGCCAGGTTTGCATCAGATTAATTCTTTAAGAAATTCATGCTAGGCAGTTTTCCTTTCTCTAATGGTTCTTTTAGACAGAGGCTATTGATGGGACTCCAGTTGACCAACTAACCTTCAGTCATTTGCTAAATGATTTACTGTTGACAGTGACCACAGACACTTTGGTGTCCAGTGTGTCTCATGATGCTAGCTCTGGACAAAGGCCTTCCTGTCTTGAGCACTTGCTTTTGTTTTCCCTTTTAACACTCAATACCAGAGGCTTTGGTTAATTTCTGTTTGTAATGGCATTCTCTCTCTCTCTCTCTCTCTCTCTCTCTCTCTCTCTCTCTCTCTCTCTCTCTCTCTCTCTCTCTCTCTCTCTGTGTCTCTCTCTTTCTTCCAGGTAAATCACTTATCAAAGAGGCATCCAGACATGAAGATAGAAGAGGTGCCTGAGTTAACCCTCCCCATCATAAAACCCAACCGTGATTACTTCTGTCAGTATTGCGATAAGGTAAAAGTTTATGAAACCTTCCTCCTGGCTGGACTGCTGTGAGTGGGAACTTAGGGCACGGAGGGATGCCTTTTGGGGGTTTTCATTTAGAAAGAAGAGGCTGAAAGGCAGCCTCCTTGTAAACCAAGGACTGGGGAGGCGACTCTGGTGTTAAGAAGAAGCAGGAAGCACTTACTACTATTGCCAAAGATTCTGTTCCTAATACCTACATTGGACAGCTCAACCTCTTGTAATTCCAGGAGATCTGATGCCCTTTCCTGTCTTCCATGGGCACTGTTCAAATATGGTGCACTTACAGGCAGGCAGGCTGACATACATACATACACACACACACACACACACGCACGCACGCACACATACATGTTCACACACACTTAAAATAGTATTTTAGAGGCTGGAGAGATGGTTAAGTGGTTGAGAGCAGAGTTTAATTACCGACACCCACATCCCCACACCAGATGGTTTACAACTGCCTATAACTCCAGCTCCAGGGGATCTGATATCCTCTTCTGGACTCTGTAGGCACCTGAGTTTATACATGCACATACACAGATATACACATGTACACATAATTTTTTAGAAAAATTTTAATAAAAAATTAAAAGTAAGCCATTTTTTTCTGAGGAATTCACTGACTGTTTTCTTATTATCCCTTCTATCTGTGACATTTGCCATAGAGAATACTTATTACCAAGAGCCTAGAATATGAACTCATTTGAAGTTTTCCAGCTGTTGGCTTATAAGATAGGTGGTGGGTTGGGGTTCCTAGGATGTTGAGTGGGCAGTGAAAAGGTTTGTGGTGGGATTCTCTGCTTGTACTGTTGCAGTTACACAAGAACACAAAGGCGGCTATGTGTGGTAGTTAGTCTTTTAAACTTTTAATAAAGGGCATTTTTATAGTAATTATCCTAGATTTATGCAGAAAAGTCAAGGAAATTGCCTAGTATATCTATATTAGATTCTCTTTATTCTAAAATACAGTACTCATATCCATAGTCCTGGGATTTTTAGGACAGGGTCTTGTATAGCTCAGGCTGGCCTTGACATTGCAGTCCTTTTGCCCTTGCTTCTTGAGAGTGGGATTATAGGTATGGGCCATCATACCCAGCAACCCTTCTTAGTCTCTTTCTAAGATTTATTTCTGTCTGCATGTATGCCTGCACACCAGAAGAAGGCACCAGATCTCATTACCTACAGATGATTGTGAGCCATCATGTGATTGCTGGGGATTGAACTCATGACCTCTATAAGAGCAACCAGTGTTCTTAACCTTTGAGCCATTTCTCCAGCCCACCCTTCCTACTCTAAGACACAGTTTCACTCTACTTCACACTGGCCTTAGACTCATGGAGTAGTTCAAGATGGCATTCAACTAGAATTTTCCTGTTGCAGTCTCTCAAGAGCTGAGATTATAGGCATGTTCTGCCATATACCTTAACCTGTTGATATGTTTTATTTGGGTCTATATCAATACATTTTTTTCTTTTCCTTAGAATGAAATTTCTTATTTTGCTTTAAGTAAGAAATTGGAACTGTACATTGCATTTATGGCCAAATATTTAAACTGCAGGTTTATAAGAGTGCCAGCAAGCGCAAAGCCCATATTCTGAAGAACCATCCAGGAGCTGAACTCCCACCAAGCATTAGGAAACTTCGTCCTGCTGGCCCTGGAGAGCCCGACCCTATGCTGAGCACCCACACCCAGCTGACTGGCACCATCGCCACCCCTCCTGTCTGCTGCCCTCACTGCTCCAAGCAGTATAGCAGCAAGGTATGGCACTGTCTCTGACCAAGTATGACATCAGAACCTGTACACCAGCAGTGTTCTAGTAGATAGACTTCTCATCCAGGTATCTTGCATGGCTGCTGCTGAGTTGATGGGTTTTGGGAGACCTACATAAGTAGGGACCACAGCAAAAAATGGGAAGGGAATGCTGTAGACTCCTGCTATTTCCAAGTCTAAGCACTCAGCTGCTTTTTACTTTGGTCTGCTCAGGGCCTTATATTTTGAGTGTTCTTGCCTCACAGTTTACAGGCTCAGCCTGTGGAATCACTATTCAGGCACTGAGATGGTTCTTGAAATGGGGAGGATCACTTCTGTGGGTCAAGAGTGACTGATTGCTCAGCTATTCATGGGGATTAGGAACAAGTATGAGGTTTTTGGATGCTGCTTGATGGTATAGAATCATGTAAGTTTATTTCTCTTCTTTTTCTTCCTCCTCTCTTGTCTCCCATCCTATACCCTTGTTGGCTTTTGACAGTGTGGTTGCTTCCCAAATGTTGTTAATGTTGCTGTGATTTTTTTTTTTTTTTTTAATTGAATTTGGGAGATAGGATTTCTCTGTATTTCTCAAGTTGGCCTCAAACTCCTGGGCTCAAGTGTCTTTTCTGCCTTAACTTTCCAAGGAGGTGAGCCTTATGTGCATAAGCCATTGTGCCTGGCAAAACAAACAAGCAGATAACATTTTAAAGACATCAAATGAGATACTTGAAGAACTGTTGTGTGATTTGCATACGAGAAAGGGCTAATTATTATCATTGTCTTTTTCCTTTTTTTTTTTTTTTTTTTTTTTTTTTTTTCCCGAGACAGGGTTTCTCTGGTTTTTAGAGGCTGTCCTAGAACTAGCTCTTGTAAACCAGGCTGGTCTTGAACTCACAAAGATCCGCCTGCCTCTGCCTCCCAAGTGCTGGAATTAAAGGTGTGCGCCACCACCACCTGGCCTTTTTCCTTTGTTTTGAGACAAGTTCTTGCTATCTAGCCCAGGCTGGCCTTAAACTTATACTTTTTCTGCTTTAGCTGCAGTAATTGTTTATTTTTTTCTTCATTTTCCAGACCAAGATGGTCCAACACATTAGGAAAAAACATCCAGAGTTTGCCCAACTCCCCAACACCATCCATACACCACTGACAACAGCCGTGATCAGTGCCACTCCAGCTGTCTTAACCACAGATAGTGCCACTGGAGAGACTGTGGTGGTAAGTTGGTGACTAGGAAGAATGTTGTATTCCCTTCTGTGCTCATCCTCTCTTTAAACGCCAAAGCCATGTCAATTATCTTATTAATTGATGTACTGTATTGTATTGATGTAATTGATGCCACTTGCCCAATACTTATGGCATCATGATGATGCTTGGATCATCTTGCCAATGCTTTCCAAATCTCTCTGCCAAAGGATGAGCAGGACACTTGTAATGCTTTCCTCCACAGTGATAATGTCAGAAGCTCCAGATCAGGTCTACTGGGTCAGGGTCAGACTCTCAGGCCAGTTTGTGTTTCCAAGATGCACCCTTATGCCAAAACAGAATTATTGTAGAATTTAAGAACATTGAAATTGCTACAGTGTTGTTACTAATATGTTCTGTGATTTTCTTATTTTTTCTCTAGACAACAGATCTGCTAACTCAGGCAATGACAGAACTGTCCCAGACCTTAACAACAGATTACCGAACACCTCAGGGGGACTACCAGAGGATTCAGTATATCCCTGTGTCTCAGTCTGCATCTGGTCTGCAGCAGCCTCAGCACATACAGCTTCAAGTGGTGCAGGTGGCCCCGGTACTACATTTATTTCTCTTTACCTTTGTGAACACCATATTGCCAGTAGCCAACACAGTAGCAGGAGTCAACAAAAGCGTCGTTGGCTCTATGTGAGGTGTAGCTACATAGAAGTGCTGGGTTTGACGTGTTAGAATACCATCCCCACTGTCTTCTTCCTTCTGCCCCTCATGATGGCTCTGGACTCAGAAGAGTCAAAGGTTTCTACTGTAGTCAGAAGGTCATAGCCAGGTGCAACTCTAGTGATAGAAATAGGTGTCACTTGGTGCTTGTGGAGGTCAGAATAGGATGTTAAATCATCTGGAACTGGAGTTACAGGTTGTGAAGTATAGATGCTGGGAACTGAACCTGAGTCCTCCTGAAGAGCAACAAGTACTCTTACTCACTGAGCCATCTCTCCAGCTCCATTTGTAATAGATCTGTGACCGTATTCCTGTACTAGACAGTGACTTACTCACCCTCGCTTATTGAGGACCAAAAGAAGGGTGCCTTTAGTTATGTTGTGAGGAAGTAGACTTAAGACAAGTGAACATTGTCATTTGAGACATTAGTCTCAAAAATTTGAAACCAGTACACTTTTAAATGTTTGAAAGTTGGTAGTTAATGCTGTAACCCTGTCATCCACAATTCCTTACTTGATGTTTTGTTTCGAAACAGGGTTTCACTGATGTAGCCTTGTCTGGCCTTGAGCTCGATAGTAGACCAGGCTGGCTTCAAACTCTCAGAGATCCATCTGCCTCTGCCTCCTGAGTGCTGGGATTAAAGGCATGCACCATCACACCCAGACTTTGGGTTATTGTTTTGAAGACAGGGTCTCACTCCATAGCTCCAGCTGGCCTCAAACTCAAAACCTCCAGTTTTGCCTCCCAGGTGAACTTTCTCTCTGGAGGATCTCTTTTAACCTTAATTAGTATGTATTTGGTTTGGAAACATTCTTTTTCCCTCCAGGCCACTTCTCCACACCAGTCTCAGCAGTCCACAGTGGATGTTGGCCAGCTGCATGATCCTCAGACCTACACACAGCATGCCATCCAGGTGCAACACATCCAGGTCACAGAGCCCACTGTTGCAGCTCCATCATCATCCCAGGTATATTCCATAGATGATACAGAATTAAGGAGACATCAGGGACCATCGATTAATAGCAGTGAACTAATTATCCTTGGCCAGAACAAAACACTAGCCTTTCCAATCTACAGCAGTACATCAATTGCTTCTGTGACTTGGGACAATAATTGTGGAATAATGTTGAGCCTGTCCCTTAGAGGTAGAGAGAGGTATGGAAATTCAGTGGAGGGAGCAATTCTGGTTACCCGGGAATTGAGGACATGTTTGTCCTTTAGTTTGAAGGAAGGCTACCTGTTTGGCATGACACTGAGGGAAGGCATTATGTTCTAAATAGCATTTTGAATACAAAAAGAGATGGGGAATTATAACACATTTGTATGAAGCTGTTAATTCTGTTTAGGAGCAGGAAGTGATAATTGGAAGAGTTGGAAAGTAGTTAGCAGTTGGAGTACAGAAGGCCTTGAATGGCAAATAGTGGAATGAGGCCTGTCATGGAATGGGAAGTAGCTTCTCCAGCACATGGCTGGTGTATGCCAGTGCTTAGCTCTATACTGGTTAGATTGGTCAAGGCCACTCAATGGAAACCCTGACTTCTGGGCTGTGTTTCCATACACCTTTGTGACTGGGAAAGTTGTTTCACCTTTTTTGACTTAAGCTTAGCTAATGTAAGCAATTATATACTTGCATTCATTTGGCAATTTTATTGAAATTAATTGTTTAATATCTTTGTATATTACCCTTTGAAAACAATATAGTGTTTCAGAGTTATGATTGCTTTTAATTAATTCTACTCTTATTTAAAATATTACTTATGAGTCTTAAGTCTGCTGGGATCTGACCATTTCCTTCTTTTGCTTTCTGTTTCTCCCTAGGTAGCTGGGCAGCCACTGAGCCCTTCCACTCAGCAAGCACAGCAGGGGCTCAGCCCTTCCCATATCCAAGGCAGTTCTTCCACACAAGGGCAGGCCCTACAGCAGCAGCAGAATTCCTCTGTACAACACACATACCTCCCCAACGCTTGGAACTCCTTCCGTGGTTATTGTAAGAATAACGGGACAGTCCATGGGTGGGGAAATCTCTGGCTGTGTATCTTACTTTCATCAGCTTTGTAGTAGGTTTTTTGATTGAAGTATCAATTGCTCATTTTCAGTTCTCTATGGTATGTGCATTTGAATGAATTTCATAGCAAAACTCAGGTCAGTGTTTTGATCCAGAATGCCAGTCTCATATTTTCAGAGATGTGAAGAGGTGACTTAAGGTGTAGAATACATGGATAGGGGATGTATTGGTGGTAATATATCATCCCTTTTACCAATTTTTTTTTTAAAATATTGGGAATCAAACCCAGGTTCTCAATGAATGCCTATTTATGTTCCAAGATTTTGTATTCTCTTCCCCATGCATGCCATCAGCTGTAAAATGTGACAAGCTAGTACCTACCATTCTCCCCTCTTCCTAGTTTCCCCACTGTAATTCTGCTCTTACATTAGGAAAGCCTCAGCTGCATGTGTGTCTTATCTCAAACATGTTACTTTCAGGGACTGAAATATATTCTCTTATATATCAGCTCTTGGGGAGGGACATTCCTGTACTTATGTGGTAGACCTCATTTTTCATCCAGATATACTACTCCATACCATGTAGAGGAAGATGGCTGTCCTGGGATCTGCTCTCCCCTCACCCCCACTCTCAAATGGCTTGGCTCTGTATACATCTTGTCATCTATTCCTGAAAACATGCAATTGTCACTATAGCAAAGAGGCACATCATCCCATATGTCATGGGAAAAGATAGCCATATTGAGATTGCTCCCACAGATGCCCAGCCTTCACTTGGATTGGCTTCAGTCACAGGTCTCACTGACTATTTCGATGCAGCCACTCTTCTCATCTTTAGTTTTGTCAGTCCCTGTTCAGATGCCAGCTATGTTGTGTTCCTGGAGAAAAGTGAAGACATGCCTATTAATCCCAGGGCACTAACAGACAATGATTCCACCCAAGTATAGCTTGGTGAACCCATGAGTTTATTGGGGTTGCCTTGAGGACCATGAATGGAGGGTTACATATAGGTAACACAAGCTACTTACAGGTGGCATAGCAGCAGCTTTGTCACCCCAGAGCCATCCTCAGAATGGATGGTAACTCACAAGAGCAGGATCATCGGAGCCCTCAAACTAATTTGCAGTTAGTTCTGTGGAGAAGCCTATTCTCCAGCAATTTGGAGGTCTTATGTGTCTTGTAACTTCTAAGCTTCCAGGACCTGGTAAGTTTCTTGGACTTCCTGAGTCCAGTAGGATTCCTTGGTTCCTTCTCCTTATAGTCTTGTGAGCCCCTCTTTCTTCTTCCTGGAAGACAGCTATAACAGTTGGCAGCTTGAGTATCAGTTGGCAGCTATGAGAGATTTATCACTGCAGATGGGTAAGGATCAGGAACTCAGGTGGCAGACGCCAGCAATAGCAAGTAGGACCAACAGAGAAAGGAGAGGTGATCTTCATTTAGACAGGGTCTTGCTATGTAGCCCTGGAACTTGCTATGTAGACCAGGCTGGCCTTGAATTCAGAGGTCTGTGCCTCTGACTCCCGAGTGCTTGGATTACATCCACGTACTACCACATTTTGATCTTCTATTATTGGTTCTTGGGGGGGGGGGGCTGTCTTTGTTCTGATTACTCTTTTCTATGTCTTATGGATTTGGCTGGGAGCCAAGAGCAAGTCTGCTGTTTAGATATGTTTTCAATCTTTTCAGTGAAGTGTTGGTGATCACAGTGAACACTAATTCTAGTTTCTGTCCAGAAAAGACTTTTACTCATAGTAATGCCAGTAGAACCTGGCAGATAAACTGATATTTATACTTATTTAAGAAAGTAAAATGATATATATATACATACAGTCATCATAGCACAAATTAGCATTCTAACTTGAAAAAGAATATTCTGGAACTGAAACGATTATTAGGAAAAGATTCCAGAATTATGCACAGTGGAGAGCACAGTATATGAACCCTGTGTTCCCTCTATTTGCCTTTACCAGTTCCCAAGTCCTGCTTAGTCTTGCCATATCTTTCTCTCCAACCCTCAACTAGGTAATTTACCCATTATATCCTTTTGCTCTGAACATTTTAGTATGTATCTAAAATGGAATGACTGAGCATGGTGGTACACACCTGTAATCTGAGGAGTGGAAAGGTAGAGGAGGAAATTCAAGAACTCAAGGTCATCCTCACCTACATAGCAAGTTTGAGGACAACCTGGGCTACTTGAGACTTTGACTCTAAAAACTAGAGAGGAGGCTGGGAAAATGTCTCAGTGGGTGAGAGTACTTGCTGGGGAAATGGTTTAGTGGGTGAGAATACTTGCTATACAAGTATGAGGATCTCAGATTAATCTTAGATTAAATTCCAAGTCTCAAATAAAAGGTGGGCATGGTCGCTCCCCAGTTGGGGAATGGATGGATATAGAAAGACTCCTGGAGGACTCTATCAGTGGTCTAAGGAAAAGGGAGTTTCAAGTTTAGTAATGGACTCTGTCATAATTCAGAGGATACAGTTGAAACAGGCAGATACTTGATGTCTTCTAGTCTTTACGTGTACCTGTGTATAACACACACACACACACACATACACATACACACACCACATATGCATACTATGTACACATACCCCACCAAAAAGAAAATAAATGAAAACACACACACACACACACCCTCTTTTTTTAGTGTGTTTTGTGGTGCACAGTACCTTGCACATGCTAAATACATGCTATATTACTGAGCTACATCCCTATCAGTTGCTAGTTGAAGGCTCTATGATGGCAAATAGGACAGTCACCAATCTGATTACAGGGGAAATCCAATTCAGGTACCCTCTTCACTGTTGCTAAGAGTCTTAGCTGGGGTCATCCTTGTGGATTCCTGGGAGTTTCCCTGGTACCAGGTTTCTCTCTAACCCCTATAATGGTCCCCTCAGTCAAGGTATCTGTTTCATTGCTTTCTCTCTCTGTCCTTCCCCCAATTTGGCCATCCTGATGCCTCATAGTCCCATCTCCCATCCCTTCCCCTCTACTCACTACCCCTCACCCCAAATTTATCCAGGAGATTTCATCTGTTTCCCCTTCCCAGGGTGATCCATGAGTTCCTCTTAGGGTCCCCCTTTTTACCTAGCCTCTCTGGGGCTGTGGATTGTAGCCTGATTATCCTTTGTTTTACATCTAATATCTGCTTATGAGTACATACTGTGTCTTTCTGGGTCTGGGTCATCTCACTCAGGATGATTTTTTTTTTCTAGTTCTACCCATTTGCCTGCAAATTTCATGATGTCATTGTTTCTTTTACTGCTGAGTAATACTCCATTGTATGAATGTACTACATTTTCTTTATCCATTAGTTGGCTGAGGAGCATTTAGATTCTTTCCAGGTTCTAAGACAGGGTTTCTTTGTGTAGCCTTGGCTGTCCTGGAACTAACTCTATAGACCAGGATAGGCTCAAACTCACAGAGTTCCTCCTCCTTCTGCTTCCCAAGTGCTGGGATTAAAGGCACTGTTCCCTGCCCTGAGAAAGGTTTTTAATTTCTTGTTTGAATTGGGGTCCATTGCAGCTGACTGCATCTTTGGAATTTCTTTTCACAAGTCCTTGCTCTTCCCTTGGAGCTAGTGTGTCTGGTCACATGTCCTATAGTTTCCATACTCTGGATTTTGCATTCTCGTGTTATTGTGCACCATCCCCTGCCCCTCCTCGAGATAGGGTTTCTTTGTGTAGCCCTCTCTGGCCTGGAACTAGCTCTGTAGACCAGGCTGGCTTTGAACTCACAGAGAACTGTCTTTCTTCTGCCTCCCAAGTGCTGGGATTAAAATCATGCACCACCTCCTCCTGGCCCACCCTGTTATTTTGTCTATTTCATGTTAGACTAGCAGCAAATCTAGAGGTTTAATCAAGCTCAGATTCTTTTCCCCAGAGTACTCAGCTGGTGTGGGGGGTAGGTTGTGTCTCTCCTATGGTGTTTATTCTGTAGCTTCTTTATTTCATCAAGACTAGCAAAGTTGTAATACTCTATTGGATTCTACTGTTCCTACTCATTAATTAGGTAGAAACATTTTATAAAGAGAAAAAGAAATTATGCTGGATATGGTATCACATACCTGTAACCTCAGCCTGTCATCTTAGTTCTTGATGGCAGAGAAGCAGGAGGGTTGCCAGACCATCCAGGGCTGCATGGAAAGACACTGTTACAAACAAATAAACGAGAGCTTGCCTTTAGTTGCAGGGGCAGAGGATTTCTGTGAGTTTGAAACCTGTTATGAGTAAGGTTTTTCCCTATCCTGGACCCAGTGCAGCACCAGCCACAAATAATACACAGAGATGCTGTATTAGATACAAAGCTGTTGGCCTGTTAGTAGTGTTTCTCATTGGCTAGCTCTGTTTTAAATATTAACCCATTTCTATTAATCTAAGTACTTCCACATGGTCTTATCTTACCAGAGAGAGGGGCTAGAGTTCTTCTCTCTTGGTCCACCATCTTGAATCTCCTCCCTACTCCTTTCCGGAATCCTCCTTGTTTCCTAGTTCTGCCTATCTTGCTTTCCTATTGGCCAACAGTGCTTTAGTCACTAGCCAATAAGAGAAACCTACGTACAGAATGACATCTCCTATCATCTCTTCTTTTCTGTCTAAATAAAAAGAAGGGTTTTAACCTTAACATAGTAAAATATATAACAAAACAGGCATCAAATAAGAACCATAGTTAACACTATTTAGTCCATTAACATTTAGTAAGACTTAAAATATTCTGTCATCTATCCTATCTTTGTTAGTCTAAAGTCTTATGTTAACTTATCTTTAATCTTAACTAAGGAAAACTATAACCATAACTATCTGTCTTCAACTCCATCAAAGACCACAGAAGGATAATACATAAACTCCAGAAATGACAGACACATCTCACTGCCTGGTCAGTCACCTGAAGTTCTTATGTAATGTTCCATCTTCAGCCTATAAGCCATTGTGTGTCTGGCAGACTCCTCAGCAAAGTAGGAAACTTTAAACTGTCCA